TTCTGCCCTACAGAACTCAAAGTGGAGAAGACAGAAAACAGAGCAGACTGGCCGAGAAAGATGGTCATACAGGCTAATACAAATGTCTTACTGCTAATAAAGGTACGAATCTCCTTCGGTGGTTTGCCACAACACAGAAATACACAAGAGGAAGCTTACCCAAAGCCAGTGGCAGTTGGTGCCATGTTAAGTCCCAGCACTGTCTTCTATAGATCGGAGAAGAGCATGGCCAACATAGTCAGCAAAGGCCAAGGACATGAAATTCAAAATGCCAAACCAAAAGACCAAATGAATCCCAAGCCATTAATTTTGGAGAGCTCTTTCTTTATAAGCCTCCCATGCTCCTCTATTCCTATCACTCACTAGAAATAGGATCACTCTCCGAAGTTTAATGCTGCATTAACAATAGCTTCTTGCATGTGAATTACCCACCTTACTGCAGTGCGGGGAGGGAAAAATGGAAGAAGTGTATTGGCCTTTCTGAAGCACATGAACTCTTCCTTTGCCAGAGAAGCCTGAGCTTGTTTGGATTACCTTAAAACCTTTATTCCAAACCTATTCAACATCCAAAACCAAATAACAAGCACCCAAGTTACACAAAAACCTACTGCTACGGATAAAGCAGACAGCAAAGTAACTTAGCCTAGCAGATACTTCAAGCAAAAAATACTATTCCCAAACAATTGCACTTCAGGAAAAAAAAACAACCAAGGCTTCTGTTCAGAAAGGGCATCACAAGCCAAAGAGAGTTTTAACAAATGCCTAGGTTTAGTCATGTATTTTAATCCCATGGATTTCACTGGGATTTAAATGTTGGCTTAATTTATGCATGCTGAACTTTTAAAGTGCTTCACTGGATATGGGCCAAAGGAAACGGTTGCCTCTTGCAGCTTGCCCTTAAGAATCATAACATTTCACCCTTAACACCAACGATTTAAAATCGTTAAAGCAGTTCCTAAAGGCAGGGATGCAATAAGAAAATGCCTTCCCAACACCATTCCTTTTTTAAGGCAGGCTTAGAATGATGCAATTTTCCTCCACAGACCCTACTGCCACAGGCAGAGTTTTGTCAGACAATCTGCACGGGTCCCCCTCCAATCTCTGCAGCTCTGTGATGTTCCTCACCACATTCATAGTTACATTTCAAGCATCTTAGGGACAGACCCTCAAAGGTTAATCAGTCCCCACCGAGACTGACAAAGACTGTGTACCATCGGACCGTGTACTACCCTTGCGAACTAGCCGGCGCGCCTTAGAGCCCTCGAGCAGCAGCGGCGAACGGCCCAAGCGCTGACCGGCTCTTCCACCCTAACGCACCAGCCCACCGCTCACCGTCAGTGTTACTCACGCCAGGAGACAGCTACTCACAGTCAGCAGCGCTGCTCCTCGCAGCCCCTCCCGTGCCACAAAGGAGCGCACCTGCAAACAGACAGGCAAATATGGTTAGTGAGTTCCCCTGCCTTGCTCTGGACAACTTTTAAGGTTTAATAATTGGTTTCTTTCTCTCTCCCAAGGAAATGGACCAACTGTTACTGAAACTTGTCTGGGTATCTTTGCGAGGCGATGGAGAAGGATCACTGAGGGCTAGCCAGCAGGACAGTGCCACAAATGAGTGGTTTAGGGTCGCTCAAAGAATCACCGTCAGAGCTATTACAAATTCACGTTAAAGCCACTTTTGCTAAAAGTGCAACTTAACAAAGTTTGATGGCAAGCTTCACTCTCTTGTTTACTACATGAATGGGATACACATAGGAAAATCAAGTTAGAGTTGAGCGAGAATGATTTACACAGAGACCAGATACGACAAGGGGTAAGGGAGACCCTCCTGTCGAGTCACAAGGTTCAGAGCGGACCCCTTTGCTTTGTGAACTCCTTCTCAGAGAGGAGTCTAGGTGCGGCTGGATCCGCTCCTAGTCCCAGAATTGGTCAGCAGTTTATATCTAAAGGATTTAGCAGCACTTACTCATTTGACATACAGTTGGGATATCAGAAGCTAGAAGCCATATAAACTTGTTTAAAAAAAGCCCCAGAACTCTGAAGTGCATAATTTGAAAAACCTGTATAGGCCCAGGGTGCAGATATGTTTAACCTGAGCTGAAGGTCATGATTCAGATTTCCCCTTCTTTTTTGTTAAGGAAATTATTTTATTATATGCTTTGTTTTAATAAAGTTTGGGGCTTTTTAAACTGGGACAAGTAGAAAAGTATAGCAACTACATATGCACAGGTATATCATTTTGTGGACAAGAGTTTATTAGAATTAGGAAACTGTGACAAAGTATTAGCTAAATATTACAGTCTTAGACCATGTTTCAAGCTATAATTTTTGATTTATAAGTCAATTGCACAAGATAGTTAATGCACAGGTACATCTCATTCATCAATAAATATTTCACTATTTAATACCCTCCAGGAGAAAGGAGAAAATCAGAAACTCAAGCTCATTTGCAGATTACTTCAAGCATGGCTGTCATTCTGGAAATAACTACATTAAAGTCCATGTACATATATCCACCTTTCAGCACAGACAAATTTGAGTATCAACAGATCTAGTTAATGATGCGTTAATATTCCCATCTGAAACTTGTTATGACCACTTACAGACTACCCAATCCCACCAGAAGGCAGAAGTCTCAGCTGAAGATTTAAACTAGTTTGTCCACCGCAATGAGATTCAGTTATTTTATTTTGATTTTTTGCTACCTGCTTAACGAAAAGCACTACAATAATTTTTCTAAAGTAAAAAATTATTTCATGATGGGGATCTTAATTAAAGCAATAGTGCTTATCAGTATTACCAAGGCAGGAGAGGCTACTACCCATATCTGAAAACTCTCTTGAATTTTAATTACCTCACCCCCTGATATTTTCATGCTTTCAAAGCATCAATTAAAGATCCAATAAAACATCAGTGTTCTCACGCTTGTCTGCAGATACACATAGGCAAGTCACAGATTCTTCAGTATTTTGAAACAAAACTGAACATTAAAAATAACATGTCTTTTTTGACCAAGCTATTCAACCTGAATATGGCAAAACAGTTCAGTGAGCAAAATCGTCCTTTCCCCCAACACAGATGAATAACTTTGCATCATGTAAAAAGCTTGGCAGCTAGCCCATGTGAGGTCTATCTGTTCCCTTTGCTCAACGAAGCAATAAAGCACCATATGAAATACCTCATTTGCCTTTCAGCAGAGGATCAACTGTCTTCTGCAGGTGCCTATGCCTCCACCTCTAACAGGGGGATTCTGGGGTTCAGAGGCTGAAGGACACAGCAGACTAGCTTACTTCTGGTGTCTGGTCTGTGGAGAGAGAAACTCCACCTTTGAGCTCTGGAGCAAATGCACAGATACCAAGTGTCAGGTCGTGACATGAAACAAGTGTCCCTCACCTTCGGCAGACTGCAATTAAAGTTGCTTTATCTTTTATAAGTTTGTGTGTGCTGAAAGCTTTATCTTGGATTTTCACAGATTTAGGGTAGGCTTTTAGCATTTTTATTTGAATGAATATAAATTCATTTGGCCTGGAAAAGAACTGAGTAGGCTTTTGTTTGTTTGTTTTTAAAAATCACCACAGAGAAAGCAACGGCTGGTGTCCAGGAACACCATCCCTGTACTTCAGCCTGAAGAACCCCAAAGTTTTCACTCATCTTGCCCATTCATTTTTTTAGCCTTCAGTATGTCTTATTGCGTGACTAACTAAACAATACTTTGCTTGCTTTGAACAGGCACTTTTTCCTCACATTTCCATTTAGTGTTCTTCCAGAACATGAAAAGACCACCTTTCCAGAAATCAGATCAGCAAACACCTTAAGTGTGTTACATAAGAGAAAGATTATCATAGCAAGAACAATTCACAACAGTATGAATCTCTGACTTTGCTCCCTCTGACAATTTGTAGTTCTCAAAAAAAAAAAAAAAAGTGATAATGTTAGTTTACTAGCTCAGTTCAGATTTTGTCTTCCTTGCACAGCTCTCCATCCATCTCTCAGTTGTTGCCAGACACTGGGCATCTGCCCATGAGACGAAAATGCAGTCAAAGCTGATTATTAGCTACATCCAAGGGACTGGATGTCAGTGACTGATCCCGATACATACATGAGGAAGGAAAGAAACTGAGGCTTGAAGGAGACGTATTCTTAACAATGGAGTATTAAAACATGGTGTCTTCACTTCTGTAAAAGCTCCCTCTCTGCTCAGTTCATTTTCATTGCGCGTCATCTTATATACTCAATAGGAGGCTGCTACAACATATATAAAAACGTAAAATCTTATTTTAATGCAGTAGGTAAAAAGAAAACCCTGGATATTGAACAACTGAAACTGAAAGATGGAAGAGAGAAAGGTATATTTATCATTTTGGGGCCAGTGGATTTTTTAAGATCATGTTAAATCCTAGAAGACATGGAAATTCGTTTTCCTGCTTAATTCTGTCAACATTGTTTCCTCTGACAGCTATACATGTTTATCTTGGTTTTGTGCAGGATGAGCAATTCCTTTCTGAAAATAGAAGATTTATGAAAAATACATTTACAGTAGATCTTATAACTCCAGTAGGTACTGGAGAAGTACCTGGGAAGATTCAAGGCTTTACTATCTCAAGAGAAACTTTGACACCACAGCCAGGCCCTTCTGCATGCACCCCCTAACAGAGGCAGGCAGCTTCCTCCAAAAAATGCCTGATTGCGTCTGTTTGTTAGCCGCTTGACTGCCAGAGAATGGAATAAGAAACTTTGAGGAGTTCAGGTTTTTCTCTGTATCAAACATCAAATAGTAGGAGGAAAAAACCCAAACTACAAACCATGCCTTTTTCATTCCTAAATCTATCAGTCCAGTTTTGTCTCTTTGGATCTGAAAAATTCTCATAACCTTATTCGTAGTACCACATCTAGACTCTCCAATCCCTTTGTCCTGAAGCCCTCAAACTCCAGAAGACAGATAAGCAGTGTGGAAGGTCCCCTATTCAAGGATGATACTGTGGTTTACTGTGATCACATCAGAGCTACTGCTGTTTAGAGAATCTGAGGTTGTCAGAGAGAAGGAATTCCAGTTCAACAGTATCATCAGTGGTCTCTACTGGTACATTACTCTTTTCCACAGGGTGCGAATAATTCCGTACTTCATGTCTGGAAGCTAATATCCTTGAAGTCCCATTCCAAGAACATGGCTCTGGTTGTCTGATGCTGTCTGAGCAAATATGGTTTGGATGGTAAATGCTTGGACAGGAATTTGGTTGGCAATGACTAGGGACGTAGTATTTAGTTACAACTGGACTTGATTCTATTTGATTATGAAAAGGATTATTAGCCATGCAACAGGTCTGGATACAGTTATTATTTTTGAATCCATGATGAAGGCCTAGTTTAGCAATAAGAGGCTTCCCAACATTAACTTCCTTTCTTTCATCCATCGTATCTTCTATTCCTGGATACTCATAGTGCAAGGAAACAGTAAAGATCAAGTGTTCCTGAAAAAGAGGAGGAGGAGAGGGGAAGAGAAAACAAAAGTGTTACACTTCCTCCCCAAATAAACAATATAGGAAACGCTTAAAAGAGCCATAGTCTACTGGAGAAGGAGACTAATCTTTTTAGGAGCTAAAGACATATATTAGGCAAGACTTGTTCACTGAGGACCTCTTTTGGTTAATACTTGTTCACCTGATAGTCTTTATTTCTAGAAGCACTTATATTACATGAGCTGCCAAAAGCACTGAAGAAGAGATACCAAACGGTGTCCAGCACAGATGTTTGTGACACAGAGATACAGAGATAAACTTAATAGTGCCACAGTATGTTGAAGTGAGAACCTTTCAAAAACTGCATGCCCAAGAGCACAAGTTGGAATGGAAGGAGATGATACGCAACGTTTTCATCTCCTACTAATGACTTTGTAAGACGCAGCTCTGCTTCAAGTCACGTTCTTCTTGTACTACAGGGCATAGGAATGTCCTCACAGTGTGAAATAGATGACCTTCACAAAAATAATCACCTTGTCAAAGTTCAGTACGGGCCTAGAAAATACAAAGTGCCTTGCACGAAGGTATCAGGATTGCACATGCATTGATGCCCTGGCTTTTATTTTTCAGCTAAAAAATTAAAGCCACTAAATCGTGCTATTAGACATTTTTTCCCTCCAAAGAACATGTTACTTGTTATGCAGACAATACACAGCTACCTCAACAGAACTGCAAAGCAATGTGATTAATCTAAATTATCTGAACAAACTTGTAAGTAATAATATATATTAACCCGTAGTTTTTGCAGTGAACTTAGCCTGGTGTAGAGGCAGTGTTTGGGAAGGTCCTTTGATACTAAATAGCTTCCGGTTTCCTCAGGAGTTCCTTTATTGGCCTCTTTAGGATCCACATCCAGGTCCTGTTGCAAGAAAGAAATGAGAACTTAATTGAAGGTACAGAATTTGTAGATCATAAAGTAGTTAGAAGTATTTCTTTTTATAAAGTCAGCATTTTCTTCTTAAAAGAAAAGAAAACACCAATCTTGGATTACTTGCGAAAGCTGCTGAAACCACTGTTAGTCACAGGCAGACAGGGTTACATTGGAGTAGGCTACCCTCTTTCGCTGATGGTTCCTGTCAAACTTGCTGTGCTTGCTTCAGGGTTGCTTTTTTTTTTACCTAACTTCTACTACGAAGTACAGTACTGGAACACTAATTCTGTGGGCTAAAAATACATGTATTTATTATGCACATTAACTCAAATATTTTATTCATAAAGAATCAGAAGCATCCTGTTTGTTCTATCTAAAAAGGTTTCCGCCCCACATCCTCTTCCATAGAGATCAAAAAAGGTTTTTTTCCCCCAAGGAGCTTTCTGGTTTACTGTTATTCTTCACTTTACTGTGATCAGCTGAGTAACATCAATGGAACTGGACAGGATCACCCACGTGCAAAGAACTGTAAAACTAAAGCCTAAGAAACCTTGTCCTGCAAGGCAGACGTGTCCTCAGCTCACACAGGAGCTGCTGACATTTAACTTCTTTAATTAAATATAACAAATATTTGATATTAGACAATGAAAAACAATGGAGACGTTGAAAAAGATGAACCCTGATTAATTTTAATGTATTTTTGTATATATGAAAAATATGCACTTAGAAAAAAAATAAATGGGCGTGTCTGCACAAACACACATGTGTAGGCACCTGATTTCAACAGTTTAGACACATTTTATTACAAGAGATGCAGTCTGACATGGACAGACCAGAAAATTTTCAACTTCAACGTAGGGAGATCACCGAGACACCAATAGAAAGCACTTACGAGTGCGAAGTCTGTAACGTAGGCTCTGCAAACTACTATTTCAGGTGGCTTCTTTACTATTCGCGTGTAGATTATCATGACATTGGAAAACTCAGCTGCAAACCCCAACTGAATCTGAACACCACATTTGAATTCAAGATACATACTTTCTGGAAGCTCTGCAAATAAATAACACATCATTACATTCCAAGTAAGACATAGCATATGTATTTTCTATATTTTTTATTTTGTTTTTAAATTCAGAAGTTTTAAAAGGTATAGACCTCTTCCTCCTGCCCTCCCTCTACCTCTCGCTTAGATATTTACACTGAAGCAAACCAGGTTAGAAGCTAACCAGGCAGCAAGACTGTTTACTAGTATCACACAGTAACTGGCAGACACTGCCAGAGCGAGCTGGTTTCTTTCCAATCTCTCTGCAACTAGCAAGGCAACATCGACTACAACTAGGATATAGCTTACTGACCCAAGAATTTGTTTACTTATCTGTAATCAAACCAGTAAGGTTAATATATTCTATAACCAATATATATGAGACACAGCTACAACATTGTAAGAACCTTTGAATTTGACAACAGAACCAGTTTCAAGTTCATTTTTTTCCTTTCACAGCCTACGCACACATTCACAAAGCCTAGCCTGCAGCATTTTTCTTCTTTATATTTTGGTTCTTTCTCAATCCACAGGAATATATCTGAAAGTGCTCAAGGGTCAATGACATCATTGTCTCTGTATGCTTTGCACTGGTTTTCCTACTCTCACTGGAAGTGGATTATTTAATGTTATCATAGGCATACCTTTATATAAATATAAAGGTTATTCTCTTCCCAAATTCCAAACACATTCTCTTCTATGCATGGCTTAAAACAAATAAACCGTAAGATAACATTATGTCTTTATAATTTTTGTTTTGCATTTCAGTCATTCAACAAACAAGAATTAAGGGCTTGATTCCACAAATAAAAATCTACTTCTGTGAAAGACTCTGCCTACCTGACTAGTTGTCTTAAGAGTGCCACGCCTGGCCCTCTGCCCAGTCTGTCAATCGTGTTTAGATAAAAAGGTCTTAAACCCCACTGCCCTTCTTAAAAGAAGTCTAGAAAGCATGGAACTAATCTCACCCTTATTTTAGTTTTCTTAGCTGTATACACTGAAAACTCCTTTTCATCATGCACTTTTACCATAGAGTTCACCTGGCTATTTTAGGTGATGACTTTAGAATGAGATTAATGATGTCTTAAAAGTGTCATTGTTAGACACAAACAGACTACTGGAAGATTATCCCAGCAGGTAGACATCACGTAAGTCTCCCCTGCGGTGTTTGAGTTGTCTTAAATATACTTACTGAGGATGAATTCTACATGTCACCTTGTTCATTACAATCTCAGGTAGAGGTAAACCCCAACCCCAAAATTTCCAAGATCTAAAACATACTAATGAAAATTCAGATGTGAACTTGAATTTCTTTCATTTCCATTCAATATCACAATGCATAGACTAGAGATTATTAAGGAAGTACATCCTCTTATTTTTCCCCATTGTGTCGGGAGGATCATCTAAAAGCAGACTGTACTATACCATGAGCTTTGGCCCACTGTAGGTTCCGCACCAGACACTCTGCAGAAGATACGGTTTGTTGAATGGGATCAGTTAATGCCCTTTTCTCAGACAAACTGCTGCGGATCTCCAAAGCTTGCTTGCCTTTGGTAAGGTGACACTTGCCCATATCTAAAAACAAGATGCATATAGTTTCTTTCAAAATCAATGCTGCCAGAATTTTAACTAAATCAAGTACATCACTGAAATGTTGTGTGGTTGCTATGGTTATGCCAGTGTCAGCACATCCATAAAAACTTGCCGTTTCAGAAGTATTCATTGCTCAGCTATTCATTCATTCATTTAAGGCTGAAACAGCATGCCAGATGCCTGCAGAGAATACTGAGGGTTTTGCATGTGTCCTAGTCAACATGCTCACATGTTTTTCAAAACCAGTTCAAGCAATATCACAGCTCTGATTCAGTAAGGTTCTAATTAAAGTGACTAATTTCAAGAATGTGAATACCACCATTGGAAGGGACTTCTAAAGAACTGGAGGCAAGTGGAGTATCTTGGAGGTTGATAAAGGGACCAATACTGTTTATTTAACATCATCACTAATGATCTGGATGACAGGAGAGAGTGCAATCTGTGCAAGTTTGCAGATGATTGAAAACTGAGAGGAGTGGCTGATACACCAGACGGTTGTGTTGCCATTCAGAATGACAGGTTGTAGAAATGGTCAGAGAGGCATCTCAAAGTTTAACAGTGTGAAAGACCAACTCCTGCACCTGGGCAGATATAAGCCTATGCACCAGTACAGAAAGGGGACTGACTCGCTGGAAAGCAGCTCTGCAGAGAAGGACCTCGGGGACCTGGTGGACACCAAGCTGACCATGAGCCAGCAATGCATTCTTATGGCAAAGGCAGCCAACAGGAACAGCCCTGCCAGCAGGCCAAGGGCGGTGATCCTTCCTCTCTGGTCAGCACTGGGGAGGCCACATCTGGAGTGCTGGGTCCGGTGCTGGGCTCACCAGTACAAGAATGACATGTACTTACTGGAGAGAGTGCAGTGAAGGGTCACAGAGAGGCCCGGAACACCTCTCTCATGAGAGAAGTATGAGGGAACTGGAGCATCTTTCATACAAGGAGGTGCTGAGAAAGCTAAGACTGCTTAGACTGGAGAGAACGTGGCTCAGGGGACTTCTTATCAATATATATAAATACTTGACAAGGGAAAGCAAAATAGGCAAAGCCAGACTCTTCTCAGTCAAGACAAGCGGCAGTACAAAAGCAAGCAGATACAAACTGAAATAGAGAGAATTTCACCTAACCATAAGAAACAACCTTTAACTCTACGGGTGATCAAACGCTGGGACAGGTTGTGCAGGGAGATTGCGCAGACTCCATCCCTGGAGGTATTAAAAACCCAGATGGAGAAGGTCCTGAGCAACCAGCTCTAGTTTACTCTGTTTTGAGCAACAAGGTTGGACTTGACGATCTCCAGAGGTCCCCTTCCAGCTTTAACCAGTCCGCAATTCAAACTTACTCCAACCTATTAGGGTCTCCCTATATTTACTTCAATTACATGTAAAGGTGACATTTGCAGATAGTTTTGCTGCATGCAGGAAGTCAAAACCTATGGCCTGCAAAGTGAATTAAAAAAAAATCCTGGAAAATTTCCATTTACAAGTTCATAAAAAAAATGAAATAGTGAAGGCTATTTACATGGAATCCTTTTCATGTGAATACTCCTTTGGAACATTTGAGTGTCATCAGTGCATCAAGATACTCACTAACACCCAATACATGGTAATACTGACAACAACTGCCTGACAAATCAATCTTTCTCTCCACTCTGAGTTCAAGAATAAGATAAATCATAGGTAAAATGTCAGAACACCTACAGCACGTGACATTAACCTGGCAGTACAGACGAAGCAATAATAGTCAGTTGTATTTTACAGGACATTTGGGGAAGCGTAGGGAAAATGGGTGCTGGCAGAATTGTTACATATTCTTATGGGGAAGACGTGAAGGTGCGGGGAAGAGGAGAGAGAGATCTCAGAGAATACTAACCCACTTAAGAACACCCAAAAGCAATGACAAAAAGGATGAGGGGAGGAAGAGGGTGAGAATGTTTTTGGATATTTGTTCATTATAAAATTTATAAACTTCTTATGCAAGTTGAAAGACTGATTAGTCTGTGACCATTGCAGAGCATAAACGGGTGTCTGTTCTACTCCTGCTTTGAACAGGCTGACAATGGGAGAATGCGAGATAAAAACTGAAGATGTAGTGTGTATATATATATATATATATATATACACACACACACACACACACAGACACACACTATACAGACATAGTACTGATGCTAGGCTGAGTGGATTACAGGGTTCTCTTTTCACAAAAGACTCAGAGTCAGAGTCAGAATGTCCCAGAAGGCAAGAAAGATGAAGGAAAGGGAAGATACTGGGGCCTGCTTCGAAACAAAGAGCTCCAGGAACGATGCCTTAATGAATCTGGGCCTAAATACTGGTGAGCATCCAGGAGGAGGAGCTTTAGTAGAGCTTCTGCCAGGCTTTCAGGAAAGAGGACTATACATTGCTCTACTTTCTACCACAGCAAACGGGAGGACAGCAAGTCCTCAAATTCTTCCTTTATACTCAGATAATGGCAAAATTGAGTAGTACTGTAAGCAAGTAAAAAGTACAAATCTTAATGCAAAAAGCACTCTGCTTGACTGCACCTGGCAGAAGAAGAAAAACATATCGCCCCAGGCGGGGAGGTGGATCAACTTCATCCCTAGGCTTTGGAATAACTGTTTCAGTTTTACCATCTACAGATCCTATTTCTTCAAGGATAATCCTGACATCTTCTGAAATTTTATTTAACTTTTCACAGAAACTTCATGGAAAGTTTAACAGATTAAGACTGAAAATACAGAATGGTTAAGTTTCTTTTATGGGATCTAGCCAAGCAACACCAACTATAAGTAAAAATACAGAGAATATATATGAGAATGTATTCCAGGCAAACAAACAAATGGTAACCAAGAACCATCACATTTCAATTTACATCCGGGAGGTATGCTGGATGCCTATTGTCATCAATTTGACATAAATTCCATGCTTATATTTCAACCAATGATCTCTTCCTTTTCCTCAGCAGAGCACCAACAGAAGCTCTGTTGGTTTAATCTTTGCATTTCATTCCCAATAGTCTGACCTGTTGACAGCAGAACTTTACTGTGCATTTAGGATCCTGTTGGATTTTTTTTTCTGCTTTTTGGATCCCTGTCAAAAGATAGACTAGGCAAAATTCCAAGACCTGCAGTTGCACCAAGTACACTGGAAACCACAGATGAATTTGGCTGACCACGTACATTACCTACAAATAACAGAATCTCCTACAGACAGCTCTTTGCTAATGGCCGTATCTATTCTTCTATGCTTTCAGCAAATGTTTGCACAGAAGCAGTACATTTTCCCTCAACAGTTTTCACTTTAGCACTTCTCCCATCAATTATAGAACACCATTACTGAACCAGCCATATTAAAACAGTGGATTGCCCTTTATAGTGCACTTACACCCTTTGGTAGAGAGCAAATAATTATCACCACTATAGCACTCTGAGGCAGGTAGGACTCAGTTAATTGTTTAAATGAACATGGAAATGACTGGACTACCACTAGCAGCTGACACCAAAAGACAGAAGAGTAATTTTTATGGATGAACAATTCAAAGCTCCATGCAGAAAGACACTCAGAACAAATAAGATTCACTAAAAAGGAGAATATAAAACTGATCACTATTAAAGAAGCTCAAGTCCCTTTATAATATCATGATCTTTGTTAATGGGCTGCCCAGTAGCACCTGCTTCTTGATAAAAGCTGCTATTTTAACAAAATGCAAAAAGAAGGAGCTGAAAGTAACGTAACACATTCACCATGAGAAGAACGACATTTAAGCAAAGAAGTATTTAGTAATGCAGGCTGAGAAGACTGTTAGTGCAGTAAGCTGGAGTTCACCTTCTGCAACCTCATCAAGCAGTACAGTAATCTTCTTGTCTTCTAACAAACGATCCTTCAAGAACTTCACAAAGATTCCATTGGCCAAGCCCGACTGCTGAATTTCAAAAGCTTCTGCTCCTTGGCACCTATGAGATCACCAATATCAGACAATGAAAAAACCCACTGAAACATCTGCACAATTAAGATCAACATGAGGACAAAAGGAGTAAAGTTATACTGGGAATGGGGGGAAATCCTACAATTTGAAAACCAGGTTGTGTCTAAGGCCAACCTGCTCTTCATGTTCATTTGCAAGCAACTCATCCCAAGAAGATTTCACTTACAATCAAGCCACAGACCAGAGCTGATGCCAAACTGCTTATATGAGGAGCTTAAATTTCTCATAGAAGGCTTCATTAAAGCTCTTGACTACTTCTATTCGACAGCTTTTGCACTTGACTTGAAAACTGACAGAGAGGTTATTTAGTTTTCTGCTTAAGTAACCTCTTCAAATAGTTTCAGTTGCAGTTGTAACTTTATTCTTTACACCTAGAACAGGAAACACAGGGGCCAATCTATATGCTGTTCCTCCAATAATTCATTGACTTGTATTTCTAACACATTTTTTTCTAGAAATTTAACTTGCATTAACAGAAGAGACACATGACCGAAGAGGGTACAGCACATAGGTTATAGTTCATCCAGTGCCCCACAGTACTTGACCTTCTGTACAACTCACAGTGCAGTTAGTACCGTTAAGAACACACAGGACATAACTCTTCCTTCCCAATCAGCATGAAGAAACAGAACATTATGGGGCTGAGGGTAAAATTTGCTTTGTGTTTTTTTAACCTCCAACAAATAATATTTAGATGAGTAGAGCACTCCTACAAGTAACCAGTACAAAAAGACCAGGAATACTGTCCAGCAGTTTCTGGTTTGCTGAATGCAGTTCTCTCACTGGTGTTACTCTATATCTGAATGGGAACGTTAAATACTGGGAATCATTACATATGTATTTCAACAGTCATTTAGACTGTGGAATGATGCAAAGAAAGAAGTAAAAAAGACAGTGTGAGGACACAGATATGGATATAAATTACTGGTCTTTTAACACCAGCGTTAGTGTTTTTCTGCAAAAGATTAGCTACACTATCTCAGTGGTCACTTCTGGCTTCAAAACCTCCGTGGCATAGCAGGAGAAAAAGTTCCTTACGTTGCATATCCAAAAACAATGTTGGCCGTAACCTTCAGGGCATCTAAGATAAGAATTGTGTCATCATATTCATTTCTGCAATAAATGGAAACATAAAAAAGTAAAAGAATAATTTGGGAACCAATAATGGTAACAAACTCTACAGTTGTTCAAAATACCAAAACAGCATAGTTCAGAAACAGTAATTTTTTTCTCCCCTAAAATTCTGGAATGAATCCTGACTGCCAAAAGACAGAAATCAGAACTGTCAACACTCTTCATGAAGACAATGTAAAGACACAGTCAGATATCACGCATTACCTAGATAAGGGCATGCTATATTAACCAATACAGAGTTTGTCTATAATCTCTTAAATGATTTCTGATAAATAGTCATTTTAGGTTATAACAGAAACTATATGATTTTTTTTTCTTTCCCCCAAAACATGGTGCCTGCCTAGTTAACATGAGGCTTATGTAGCTGTATTTTCTATTTGGACAGCAGATTGTGAAGCTGAACTGAGTCATTGGCATTTCATTAGCAGTGAAGTTTAGAGGCTCTACAAGCACTGAAGCACTAGCAATTTTCTATTATGAAACATTCCTTAGGGACCAATTTTCAGAAGTGCTGACTGAAGAGCTGATTTCAAGTGCAAGTTTAATTGGGCATAGTAGTCTCTTAAGATGGAAAGAAAACAGTACTTTGTTTAGAAAAATCCAATAAACCTGTTGATTTTTAAGCTCTAAATAAAGATACAACATCCTCAGCATAAAAGCAGTCCACAAAATCCATGCCTCTGAAGAGCTGAAAATAAGCACTTCACTTGAGCCCTTCTGTCAAATTAACATGCCTTTGATCATACGGATTCTCCTTCCTCCCTGTAATCACGAAGATGGTTAATGATGCAAGGGGAAAGGGTAATTTTTCTTCTTTAAGATGCCTAATTTCACTTTTATCTAATGAGACTGATGCTTTATAACTTTTAAACAACAACAAAAAAAGAAAATATAAATGTCATTCAAATCAAAAGGCAAGTATCTACCCATGGAAACAGAAAGTCTAACCACCAGCTTCACATTTCAATCCAAGGCCAAAGGCAAAATAAGTCCACAAACGAATCCTATTGACTTTAAAAACACTCAGGTGCAGACTGCAAATTCTCAGAACCATGAACTTTCAAGTACAGTGAATTCTTAGGCTAGACTAAAGATTTCTCCTCAGCATGAAGTCCAGCTTTCCCTCAAGATTCTTTGCTATTCTCTCAAAGTGGCTGTTCAGTTTTATTTGTTCATTTTTAAAACAGGCTCAGTTTTAACCTGTTGCTGCAGGGAATAAACTGAACTTCACAGTTAGTTCCTGAAACGACAGTCATGATACTATCTCCCTCTATCGTGAAACAAAAACATCCTTCAAACATCTGATGTCAGTTCTGACTATTCATCAATTATGAGATTATACCTTTTCCGACACATATCCAGTAGGAATACATTAAGTCCCGTCTCTTTTTCCTGCATTAGTTTGAGGATGTTCTGCACACACAGACAGTTTGCAGATCGGTAGGGATTCGGAGCATCAACAGGAACCATGAAACTGTTTCCATAGTTTTCATAGCCATGGCCAGCATAGTATAACAAACCTGAGAGTTCAAAACGTATGTGACTGAAAACACAGCTCAAGAGTACATTGGAACATTTCTATAAATTTTAGCATCGTCAAAAACTTCATGCACTATGTCCACATTATGTATCTGTGGGAGATTAAGATCATTCAAGCTACTCCAAGCAGGTTGGCTTGCCTTTTTTTTTTTTTTTAATATTGATATGCCTTTGTTAATACAGGAAGGAAGGGGAGACAGAGCAGGGGGAAACCACATTAACATCAACTTCACAATACACAGACATAAATTTTTTTTAAAAAACAATCACTCATGCAATAGAATGAATTAGATATTTGCATCAAACACACAAAGTTAAATACTCTAAAAATGCTTTAAATAGAGTTATGACTTCTAACAGAAATAATCTGTTATGTATGATATATCTCACAGAATGAAGAAGGAAACGTGCCAACTGTAAAACATCTTCCCCACGTGTGCAATTACAAAGCTTTGAGTAGCAGTGAGTCAGTGCAGATTTTATAGATAGAAAAAAAATAACACCGAGCAGTTTGGATGGATTTTTTTTTTATTTTTTTTAAATGAGAGATGCTGTCATCTTTAAAATGATTCTCCTTTATTTTTTTAACTTATCATTTATCATTGGCAATTCTTAAAAGTACTTTAACTAGGAAAAAAAAAATCAGAAAACCCCTTGATTACACTATGAGAGCATTTTGCAAGTTTTTTGTTTTGCTGTTTCCTCTGTACAGTCAGTTTCTCCCTTTGTTTTTGTCTTTTTCATAGGGAGGAATAAGAAATATTTTTACATTTAGAGGGGAAAAAAAAAAAGAAACATAGATTATTCCATGATCATGTTTGGTAGGACTCCAGAGCACATTCCCATTACCCAACTACCAACAACTCATTTTCAGTTGATTGTATCTACATCTCTTTACAATTACGAATTCATGACTCCTGTGGGTCTACTAAACAAATTCTTTGCATGCTTACCTAGGTACAAAAGGTTATCCTACAATCACCTCCCTTGTGTCAATACACAATAGTCTACAATATTTTAAGATTTTAAATCTTCAATAAAACATGTGTGATAAATAATATCGTAGTTTTGCTTAAGTCATAAATAGACAGGCAGTTGGAAAGAATGTAGGTTTCCAGGTACCCAAGTATGGGGACGGAGACAGGGCATTATGTATTCAGATACAGGGTTAAGATAAGTATGGGGACAGAGACACCACTTCTCTTAGCCATGATTAGCCTTTTCCTGGATGACACATTCCTGCCGTTATCTGGAAGAGAGGATTAACTGCCCACTTGGGTTTGCAATGTTGCTGAAACAATAGAGCACAAGCACCGGAATAAGAAGTTTAACTGAGAGGAAGACTTTGAGCCTTCACACCATGACCCCCAAAGAAGACCCCTAGACAACAGTGCGCAGATGCAAGTGGGAGGGAATAGATGTAAATAACGTCGGGGAAATCATTTAAATATGTCTAAGACTTCTGGGAAATGACATGAATATGAATGACTGTCCTAAATAAATTTGTGGAAGTTAGACTAACCAGTGTGCATGCAGGAGGATCACGGGGGTGATCTCCCGTGCACCCAGCGCTGAAATAAACCTTTGCTTCACAGACTTTGTCCTCTCTTAAAAACTACATAGGTGAATGTTTCTCACACATGCAATAGTTTTGTATAAAGAAAACATATAACAGAATTTAAAAAAGCTTTTCTTAATCCTGAAAAAGGGAACGGCAACCTAGGGCTTAGATTTTACTTATATGAATAAAATGTCAAATATTAAAGTCATATCAATTTGCAGTAAGATCAGATGATCTTAGCATTAATAACGTCCATTGCCATAAAATGCAGTTACCAGAAGCTTGTATGATTAAATGGCATTTTCCTATCGTCTGTTCCCAGTGCTGTTTTTGCTTATCTATGGCAAGTTCCATCTTCTAAAAAGAATTTCTACTTATCTATACAAAGCAGTCTATGGGTCAGGTCTTCAATTAGTATATAGTGCTGCAGCTGAATAAAAGTCAGAGATATGACAATTTATGCTAACTGCAGATATGGTCTTCTCATGTCATCATTTTTACTAAAAATAGCTGTGAGATTTATGTCACCACAAAACTTGAATATTCAGAATAAACAAAGTAAGCCTTATCCTAACATACTAAAATGATCTGCATTTAAATCAGCTTGTGTAGGCAGATATGATAGATACTTTTACCTTCCCATTACAGATAGCTAAACCAAATGAAAATACTTCTCTCACACAGCCCTGCACTGTAAAGGAATATCAAGAAATAACTATAGCTCTTCAAATTAAGCCTTCGGTTCTCTTTTACTTGTAAGCTCTCAAGTCATTAACAACTATGCCAAGACCTTGCAAACGGCTCCATTCAATCAACAGTGCTCAATTTCTTTTTATGGGAAACATGCATAGTGAAGATAAGCAGCCAGCAAGTGCATACAAGGTGAACTCCAGGACGGCAGGTTTCACTTAAACAAAGAGTCTAATGGTTATTCATCTGCCAGACTCTTGGAAAATGGCAACAGCTTTATTCAATTAAAAGTTAGATTTTTAAAGGGCACAGAATTTAAACTATATGATTAAAAACATAAACAAATAAAGGTACTATTGGGCTATTTATAAGAGTCCAATAGTTACCTGAGAGTAGGTAGTTTCAAGAGAGTTAAAAACGAAGTTAAGCAATCGATGCACGACTCCATGTCAGGTCCTAAGTTAAAAGGAAACTCTCAAATTTGATTTCCACAGAGTTTGAATCTGGACCTAAAGCAAGGTTATATTTGAGATTATATCTATCTATCTATATATATGAGTGTGTGTTAGATAAGTAATTGGACTGACTGAAGGAAACAAGTCTCTGACAAATTGTGCTTTACATTAGAGTATTTCCTCAACGAACAGAAATATCTCAGAGATAACAACTACATTTCTTTTATATCCTTAGCAGATGACTGCGCTATGCTTATTTGATGAGTACCTGCAACAGTTAATATGTTGAGCTCAAGATCAGAAATAAATCTCTGCATACCCAGAGTAAGCAGGCTAAACATGTTTGGAGGGCCTCATTAGACACTTCGACACAACAATTTTAAGTAGGCTCAAGTTCCTCATAGACGTCAGCATTTTAAGTGACCTCTCTCTCTCTCAAAGAAAGCAACATAACTATTTTTAGTCATTAAAACATATGGGTCTATGCTTTTACCCTTTGTGGAATACAATATTAATTGCACCCTACATAAACTAAGAAATCAGAGGAGGCAATCATCATCACTTTGTTTACTACTCCTGCTCTTAAAGAACAGTATCTGAAATGCCACCTTCCTGGCAGTAAGCAAGAGTTACACAATGTCGTATTAGGCATCATGAACATGTGTAACAAGGACTAAACAGAAGTAGCCACTATGCCTCTTCTATTTGGAGCTATGCCCACTAAAAATGCAATAAATCATTATCTCTTTGTGCACTGACAGCATCTTTTATATGCTTTAAGCCATTATGCAGAAATAACAAAGTGACTATTTAAATTGAAGTAGTTATTGCCAAACACTACTGAAAGAATGCTCTGCTTACCTTTCAGAAATACCAACTTGCTGGAAAAATACAACTGCAAAAATATGCCTTATATAAGAGCTTTCATACAGTGCTGGTGAGAAACTCATTAAAGACTTTCAGTACTTCATTTTCTAAATTCATGTCAACAATTATAGAAAAAAATTGAGAAGGTGTAAGAATCTAAAAGCTCACTCAAATGTGTAAGCACATCTATTTGCTAAGGAACAAAAAAAGAAACGTGCTATCAGAAAGTCTACTAAACTTTACTGCCATACTTAGTCTTCATGTCATGCAAGTTTTGGCTCTGACATAAATGCCCAAGTGTCAGATCAGCCAGTTCTGCACAGACAGAGCATCAGGTAACACACCATTTAAAAAATATCATACTAAGAAATAATCTGACCTTGTGTTCCAAAAAAGAAACAAATGTTTTCTTCAGTGGGCGTTACTATAGAAATTCTGCAATTTAAATAGGACAACTGGTAGAACTTTTGGTGTATGCTCTAAGCAATTTCTGGAGTCATTTATGCAATCTTAGCTTTTAGAAAAATGACAAAAATAGTGGCAGTCAGCAGCAAACTCCTCAAAGCCCACAGAAGAACTTTTCTTACACTCCAAGCCAGGTCATTCTAGGCCTTTTCCATACAAGACATGAAGGTTTTCGCCCTGTGCATCAATTCCACCATGCCCTCCCCCAGCTAGCACAGCCACCAGTTCTGTCTTGTGCTTTGTCCTTCAAAATCAACTTTATGCAAGACAAGGAATCCCAATATACAAGAATCAATGCATATCAGTAGTAGCCACACATACCAGACCTGACTGGTTAGTCATTATCCCAGGGGAAGGAATCCCTGGTGCAGTATGTGGAGGAGAGCTTAAAATTCTAAAATATCCTATTACAGGTATCTTATAAAGTGGATGTGTGACTTGAATAACAAAA